ATCCTTGTAATTTGAGATGTACTCAGATTCTGTCACCTTGACATTTCTTTTCTTCCCCATTTTTTCGTTTTTAGATCCCGGAAGCCTGGGAGTTAGGGTATTATAAAAAAAAAAGTTATTTACGATAACGATACATACATATACTATAATCATAATAAAGAAGGAAACGAGTTATCAGATGTTATTCAGTGTCAGTTAGCAGCTATTTATTTACTCTCTCTCTCTCTCTCTCACACAGAGTGTCATTTTTTTTTATTATTTTAGCTTCTGAAAAGGAGGATAACAATGTTGGCAGTGCACAGTAAGTGGTTCTTCCACGTGCCACATAGACAAAGGGAGATTAAGTAGTTCATATCTTTATTGTCTTTCACATGCACTTTCCCCAAAAGTTATGCTGTGCGAGTGCGTGTGTGTCTATATATGTATATATATATATATATATATATATATATATATATATATATATATATATATATATATACATATATATATATATATATATATATATATATATATATATATATATATATATATACATATATATATACATACATATATATATATATATATATATATATATATATATATATATATATATATATATATATATATATATATACATATATCTGTGTGTGTTCTTACTTAGCATATCTTACCTAGTTGTTTCAGTACGGAAAAAGAGCTAAGCTCAGATGGTCCTGTCTTCTATATAATTTATCGTATAACTTTTTAAAATGATCCACTCTATTTGGAAAATTGTTTTTTGTTTCGGTAGTTCTCTTTGGGAAACTGAACTTTTTGACATCTATTTCGCCTCTTTTTACTTTTAACTCTCGCCCTTCTTGTGTTTAAAATTGTAAAGTCATCTTTGTCTAAGTTCATCCTTCCTGTAATATAGTTGAACATTATAATCATGCCCCCCCCCTTTTTCTTCTTTCTTCCAGAGTAGTAAGTCCTATATTCCGTAGTCTTTCTCCATAGCTCATATCTGTTAGAGTAGGTACCCAATCTATGGCTGTTCTTTGAATTCTTTCCAATTTATCTATATCCTTCTTTTAGATTGGACTCAATACCACTGCAACAATCTCTAGACTATGTCTTATCATGGCTGTAATGATCTTTACCATATCTTCGTTCACATATACGAATGTCTTCTTCATGTTAGCAAGCAGCCCCAGCATTTTATAGACCTTGTTAATTATGTAATAATTTGGGCTTAGGTTCCTGTTTATGATTATTCCAGGGTCTTTTTCTTTGTCTGCTGGGTTTGATATTACGCCTCCTCATATTATTGGTATAGTGGACGATTTTCGCTTTCTCCTACCCTGGCTATTAGACATTTATTAGTGTCGAATTCCATTTCCCAAGTGCACCTCCACATAGATAAGTTTTCGATGTCACTTTGGAGGCATTGGCATGAGACATCGTCCATTATCCCTTTTTGTAATTTCGTGTCGTCTGCAAAAATATTCAAATAACTACACGAAATTATGCTTGACCTTAAATCACTGATGAATATAGTAAACATAATCGGCGCCAAGACTGATCCTTGAGGTAGCCCACTAGTTACTCGTCGCCATGTAGAGTGCTTCCTTCTAATTACAGTGCTCATCTGTCTTTCATGAAGAAAGTCTTCCACCCATTCGAGGAGTTTGCCTTTCACTCCACCTTGTGTTCTAATTCCCTTAATAGTCTTCTGTGTGTGTGTGTGTGTGTGTGTGCATATTTGTTGTTATATAGATAGACATATATATATATATATATATAGATAGATAGATAGATAGATAGATAGAGAGAGAGAGAGAGAGAGAGACGAACAAACAAACAGTATGTATACACTGTATGCTGTGTGTGAATTTCTTTCAAGCATGTCTCACTTTTGTTTTATTATGGCTCAGAGCCCTTAAGGTGGTGATGCTAAATGAGCTCAGAATCTAGCTGCTTATGCCCCGTGCCTTTAACATGTTGGATCACAGCTGTTAGGTAGGGAGCTGTTTGTAGAGTTGAGGAACACCCATCACTTCCTTCTTTTCAAAGAAAAATAACGTAAGTTGACTAAAATCCTAGAAAAATACGAGATGTCTCATGTTCCCTTGTGTGTGTGTGTGTGTTTTAATATATAATTCATTAACATCATTTGGCGCATGAAATGATTCAGACTTTGTGTCACTTTGTCTACTTTGTTTACTTGCCCCCCCCTCCTCCCCTCCCTCTTCTCTCTCTGTTTCTCTCATCCTTTCTGTTTGTCAGATGTCTGTCTCTGCCTCAGTTTGTCCATCTGTCTCTTTCTCTCTCTCTTCTCTTCTCTCTCTCTCTCTCTCTCTCTCTCTCTCTCTCTCTCTCTCTCTCTCTCTCTCCTTCTCTCTCTCTCTCTCTCTCTCTCTCTCACTCTCTCTCTCTCTCTCTCTCTCTCTCTCTCTCTCTCTCTCTCTCTCTCTCTCTCTCTCTCTCTCTCTCCTTTTCCCTTCTCTTTTCTTCTCTCTCTCTCTCTCTTTCAATCTTTCTTTTTTTCTCACTCTCACATTCTCTCTTACGTTTTGATTTTCTTTGAACAGCACATTCTTGCTCACTGGAAAAAGGATGAAAAAAACTCAACTGAGTTACACATTCTTTATTTTCACTCACACTACACTCGCACAGCTCTACAAACTGCAATAAATAAGAGGATATATGCCAAATACACACTGTAACTCTTCATGCAATAGTGTAAACGTTCTATTGTTGCATATTCAATAATACTTTTTGGGATAAGCATCGTTCGAAAGGGGGGAGGGAGGGGAGGGGGAAGGGAAGACGTAGCATGAATTCTGAATATACAAGCGATTGTTGCAATTACTTCAGTGACTGCACATATTCTTTTCCTTTCTCGGTAGGATGACGAGAAGGTAGATCGGAATAAGTGAAAAGTGATAAAAAGATTGATGAATAAGAACCAAAGAATAAATAGAAATGATTTGCTATGGAGTAAAAAAAAGTGAAGGTATCTGAACAAACAGCAAAAAAAGAAAGGTAAAGACATGCACAGACGTGATATTTTCTAACTAAAGAGTGAAACTCAACTAAAAGTATATGCTGTTCTGTGCATTCAGTAGTTACATTTTATACAATAACTTCTTTCAAAAAGTTTTTTGTTCTTGTTATTAGAAACACAAACACATCATAATCATATAATGACAGGTAGTATATAATAATACCCATTATACAATGATGGGGAAACTATAGGTCATATGGAATATAACCAATACATAGCACCACCTTGTGTTTTTACATTACCACATTCAAGGAAGGAGATATCTGTGGTTTTAGCAAATAGGAAACATGAAGAAAAGAGAGGCAAAAGGGAGAAAAAGTAACGAGTGGGAGCGATAACGCGACTGAATACACAAATGGCCATAAATATGGCAAGCACTTTCGTAGATTTAGAGAAAGGGCACTGACATTTCTATCATTAAAAGAACCATAAGGTACAAGAGAGAACACAAGTGCAACATCATAAATCAACCAAAATGTGTGTCTTCAAAATCAACACAGCTTGAATCTTCCACTCTCTAAATACAAAAAGGGAAGGTTGATTAGCGTAAATATCTGAATAGGGAAAATGCTGGCTAATCACAGGAGTAATATGATTTGGTCGATTAGCAATACATTTAAATTTTGGCCAACTCTACATTATATCACAACAGTTTAAGACTGAAAATATACATTGTATCAGGAACTAGACAGGCTAACGAAGACTAAAGTAAGATTAAATTAAAGAGTAAACCCGAACAGATCTTGATGTAATACTGCAGTTTAACACAATATTCCTCATCGTCTGGGAGTAACATACAATATAAGAGTTCACGCTGTTGAAAGAAATCTTCATTTTTCTGATTTCTTTCTTCATTTATGTTATTTTATTGTCTGTAAAAGTAGGACTGACATATGAATAATAATCTCAAGCGGTATAGCCGAGGAGGAAAGCTGATTTCCTCTATCACTGGTTGATCGTCAATCATTAATTCTTGATAATCAACTCGATGCTAATTTAGTGATTAAACTATAACTGGTTATTATGCAGATTTCACTCCACACCTACCATGGAAAACGTGCACATATACAATTTACATTCTAACTCTAAAGTGTCAAGACCAAGTTTTTTTTTCAGAATATCGTATCAGATATTCCCAGAAAAAACGTTAGGGATCTTTGGAACTCGGCAAAGTAGGAATATAATGATAATAATATACGGAACAAGAAGATATCCCTTATGACTAATGCATCAAGACAGATATCCGCTGCGGATTACGTCTGCTTGAAATAGATAATTTCTTTAGCATACAAACGTTATTTGGGGAAACAGGTACCTCAGGATAAATCTGGGCCACCTCGTCGCTTTTTCTGGGCGACGTATCAGCCTATCACACACAGCCTCTTGTGGCCCGGATGTGACACGGAAGCGAGAGAAGAGGGGAAAGGCATATCACAAATCTGAATACGGTCTAGTCGACTGGCCGAATCACTCATTGCAAATTTGGATACGGTCTAGACTCTAGACCTTGTCCCGAAGAGTTTATAGACTCATCACTATATGACTTTATCTAATTCTGTCCCATTGAAGCTAAGCCATTATAAACAGTATATGTATATATATATATATATATATATATATATATATATATATATATATATATATATATATATATAATATATATATATATATATATATATATATATATATATATATATATATATATATATATATATATATATATATATATATACATATATATATATATATATATATATATATGTATATATATATATATATATATATATATATATATATATATATATATATATATATATATATATATATATATATATATATATATATACATATATATATATATATATATATATATATGTATATATATATATATATATATATATATATATATATATATATATATATATATATATATATATATATATATATATATACAACCAAATTGATCCTTGCCTCGCGAAACAATATTCACGAAATCATTGTTATAGGAAATGATTTCTTTAAATTCATCTTCTTTTAGTTTTCTAGGCTACGTTAACTTGCACCCTAAAAAT